AAATAAATATTTTTTTGTTTTTAATAAATTCTTATTCTATTTCATTAACAAATTTTTTTATATTGTGTAATTTGAAATTATATAAAAAAAAATAGTTTAAAATTTTTTCTCATTATAATCGATTATAAAATATTTTTTTAATATTAATACGATAAGTTACTAGATTTATAACTATAAAATAAATATAATTTTTATAAATAGACTTCATTATAAAAATATATATGAAAATAAATATTCTTTTTATATTAATTTTTATATTAATTTTATAAGCATATTTTATAATTTATTTTTCTTTAGCTATTATCATTTTTTTTATATACTTAAAATAACTATTTGGAACCTATATACTATACTTTACATGAAGTTACGTATTCCGTATTCAAGAAAGTAAATGAAAGATACGTAATACACATCAAACTGATAATTAATTTTCAATTCAAATTAAGACATTTTTCGGAATCTAAACATTTTATTATACTTTCATATTAAATTACGAATTTCGTATCTATATATTTATAGGTTTTAACCTATAAAGTAAGTTGTATATGTATAATTTTGATTTTTAAAATTTGTACAATATATTGACAACTAAATTAAAAAAATTTCGACGAGAAAAATTATAAATTTAAGAAGAAACTACAACAATTTGAAATTACAACAAGAAACAATTTCTCAAAAAATCATTATAATTTATTAAAGAAGAATGTCAATGTTATTACGACTTGTTCGTTCTCATAGAATTAAAAATGGATTGATGTTTTTAAAACCAAAAGAGATTAAAATATGTAATAGAATATATCGTAGTGATTTACCAACTCAAAAAACTGAAAAAGAAGATTTATATGAAGTAAAAGATGCATGGGTTAGTTATGGATTTGACAATGAAAATAAGAAAGTTGATCGTCAAGGCATGCATATAACATTTTTTACTTGTATCTCTGTAGTCTTAATATTTGGAGCTCTTATAATTGGTTATGCACCAGATCCACTTCTAAAAGATTGGGCTCAACGTGAAGCATATCTACAACTTCGTTATAGAGAAGAAAATGGTTTGCCATTAATTGATCCAAATGTAATAGATCCATCAAAATTTATTCTTCCAAGTGAAGAGGAAATAGTTGATGTTGAAATAATTATTTAAACATTTTCAAAATATTCGGTATGGAAAAAATTAGTATTTTTAAATTAATTATTAAAATCTTTATTATTCTATATATTTATACCACATATTATACCATAGTATTTGAAAAAATATTTATCTGTACAATATATAATAAATGATTTTTATCCAAAATTATCATTCTTATTTATGAGTATTTTTAAAATTATAATAACCTACATATGCATTTTTTGAAAAAAAATATATTTGCAAATATATATAATAAATCATCTAATAATTAATAATTTTTTAATTTTTAGATATGAAAATTTCATTCATTCAATATATATCAATTCAATATATAAATGTTTTATTTATTTATTTGATAACAAATTTAAAGTTGTAGTCTTATACAATAAGATAAATTATATAACACAAATATTGCACATACAATGTTGTATATATGTTATTTTTAAATTATAGTGATTGAAAAATAAAATTCATAGTTACAGTTAAATAAGAAAAATTATAAGAAAAAACAGATTAATTATGATATAAAGATTTAATACTTCTTTTCTTTTAAAATTGTTTTAATTTGATTTTAATTTAAATAATTAATAGTCTTTATCTATGTACAGAATTACATAATTTATCCTCGCATATCTGAAAATTTGTTTACATTGCGTTTAAACAAGTAATAAAGTATAAACGCATAAAGTACAAGTAATACAATATATTCATAATAGATACATTACGCTCTTTATTACCTTTATTCTTCAATATGTACTTTGTTATAAAACAGATATTTTCATTAGAAATAATATGATCGTTACTGCGTTGTTGATGGTATAGATGTGGGAACAGTACTAACTTCAGTTAATTCATTTTGTTGAAGAACAGACGAATAAAAAGATGTATTTTGAGGTAAGCTTGCACTAACGGTAATAGGTGGCATTCCGGGTAACGATATGGGCGTCGTTACAACATGAGATTGAGGCACATTGAATTGTATTGATGGTGATACATTACTTTGTACGGTTGTAAAATTTTTCGACGTTCCAACAACGCCTGTTGTTTCATTTAAGACTGTCGTATTAGTAGTAAAAGTTGATAAAGGTGGAGTTGTTGGCATACCAGGTATATTTGGCATTTTATTTTGATTTAATGTGGAATCATTATCTAAATAGGAATAATATCATTGTATTTACTTATTTGAATATTGAAATCATTTATAAATACTTACTATATGTTGCATTTATAATTCCTTGATTAGATATAACATGAGATATAGAATTAGTAGTAGTAGATCCTCCAATAGTAGCAGGATTTAATTGAGAAACATTACATGTTTGAACATTTGGTGTATAAGTACTTTGCATCACATTAGAAGTTTCAAGTTCGGATTTTATAATGTTTTCTTGTGATGAAATATAGTTTGGTGGTATGGAAAAACCTGGTGGTATGTTAGTAACTACATTACTTCCTTCTGTATGAGTAGTGTTTGATGTGACTTGATTTGAAATAGTAGATTTAACATTACTCTATAAAAGAAAAAAATAAAATTTATTATATATATATATTTTGATAAATTTCATATAACATTAGATATGCACCATATATAAATTATTCAATTTGTGTTCTTGAATATTCCTAATAGGTATTCTATGTAGATATCCATATCCAATTCCACAACCCAAACTGTAAAGGCATAAAAATTTTATAAAATATAAAGCATAAAATAAAATATTTTAAAATACTAATAATAATGAATTCACTTCCTTTACTCACCTTCCTTCTCCACCCCAAGAATGATTGGGTGTAATTGTAACTTCTCTACAAGAATCATCTTCTGTATTATATACATATAATTTTAAAAATCGAGATTCATGTGCTTCTATCAGAGTAAATAAATCCTCAGACTCATGTAAAACTGAATCAGCACCAATAATATAATCTGTGAAAGGACGTAAACCTGCTAATTCAGCAGGAGAAGATGGATATACTTCCTAACAAACAATTTAAGAAACTTTAATTTTTTTTATGCAATTTTTAATTTTTTGTAATTCAATTATATTTATACTTACAAGAACATGCCAAACATTTTCATTAGAACCTTCAAAAGAACAAAATCTTACACTAACACCAAGAAGGCCTTGTCCACCCCATGTAAGACTAGGTACTATAACAGTTTGTCTTACAGATTGTGTTTTACTGCTATATACTGTAAGTGTTAATTTTTTATCTACACCATTTTTAAGAAGCTCTTTTAATGTATCATTATCTTGATCCTATAAAAAGAAATTATTAATTTAATATAAATTATATTAGAATTAATAATTAAATATATAATATGAATTAAAAATAAAAATTGATATAAATCATACCAAGCGAGTATTTCCAATAGCTACAATAAAGTCAAAGAATGCTTCTAGACCAGCTTTCTGACCAGGAGAACCTTCTTGTACCTATTTCAGTGATGAGGTTCGAATCAAATTTACTAAATATCTAACAAAAAGATAGCTATATTTATTGAAAAATAACTTTTAATTTTAGATTTAAATTTTAAATTATATAATAAAATTCATTGATTGATTTTTGTTTAAATCAATTGTAATAAATCAATTGTAATTTGTAATAAATCATAGTAAATTTATAATATATTATAATATTAATCACTGAAAGTTGTAATAAAATTTATTTCATTCAATAAGAAAATATTTGAAAGAATTCACAAAGAAAATTATAATATTTTGACAAATTTTTTTTACCCTCAATACATGGTAACCTTCTGTGCCACCTCCTGGTATTTCAATACTATGAGAAGATCCCATTTTTGACAAGGAAACTTCTTAAAATACAGAAATATAAAGCATCAAAAAAATTGTTATTTTGAAAATAATAATCGAAATAGAAAAATATGCAACACAAAACTTTGTACAGATTCGTTGGTGACGTAGCCTATCATATGTAAAAGTTCTGATATGCTTACGATTCATTCAGTGTTACCAATGTATGTAACATTTTTAAAAAAAAATACATATTATTTATCATCAATTTATAAATTCACTTATATTACATAGATAAATTAATAAACTTATTATAAAATTATGTAAATTATTATTAATGATTTTAAAAGTAAGACATAATATTTAATTATATAATTGATAATATTAATAATAATATTAAAATAACATTAAAATCACTAATATGATTTAATTTTTCAGAATACATGTTTTTATATCGGTAAAAATATTTTAAAAGTAATCATAAATTTATTTATTAAATAAATATTTAATATATAATTATTAAATATATAATTATTTAAAATTATAATAAATCATAAATATCTCAGAAATTGAATAAAATTTATAATAAAATATATAGTGAAATTTAATACATTATACAAAATTTTATAGAAAATTATTAATTTTAATTTGATTCTAATTTTTCAAATTCATAAAATATTAAATAAATATTAATATTTATAATTTTCAGTTGAAAATTCATTATAAAGATATCATTTGCGCATGTATCAAATTTGAATATATTTAAAACTAAACCGTCACGTAAAACTACTTTACATACATAAAATACAATTTATAATAAAATTCAAAAAAGTTACATTATAAAAAATAAAAAAAATATGGATTTAGATTTAGAAAAAATTCATAATATTTTAATTGAAGCTAATCTTCCATCAAGCATAAAAGATTTAAAAAATCCAACAGAAGAGTTTGTTGTCAAGTTAATTAATACTTTCTTAAAAAGATTTCATATCGATTTTAATATATTTGATAAGGTGAAAATATTTATTATTTATATTATATTATATATACAGTAATACTTTTATTATTTGAATAAAAATTAAAAAAATTTATTTTATTAAAGCCCACAATGGAACAACAAGATATTATGCAATACTGTGAAGATTCTACTATAATTGGACTTGTAAATTTACATATTGTTATGGTTCAAATATGTGATAGAATATATTTAAAAGATCTATGTATTACAGATATAACTAGTCCAGGTAATTTTTTTTAAAAATTA